GGCGAAGGCGTGGGTGTCGGCTGAAACGGCTGCTTCGGAGGTGGGGACCTGGAGGGAAACGAAGCCGGGATACCCCCCCTACCCCCCCCCCCCACCCCCCCCCGCGTTTTGGGGCTGTAAGGGAGAAAGGAAGAGGGTTTTCACCCTCTCCGCCTTCGGCAACAAGGTCGGCGGACTCATTTAAAGGCTTTGCCGCCTCCACCCGACAAATAACATTAGACATGAGAGCATAACATGTTGCGCTCTTTGCAGACTGCTTCCGAAGCCGGGCTGCTGACAACATTCATCCACACCATTGAAGTTCGCTCATTGTTGCTTCATGTTTCGGCTGCGTGGCTTGCAGTTTGTGGTTGTCATCAACACACAGTCACATTGCGGCCATGGCCACTCCAGAGAGAGGAGCACAGTCGCACATCAAACTCAGATGGTATACCTGCTACGGGTGGTGCGTAAACGCACCACCATCCTCTGAATACGAGAACGGCATATGTTATGAGATGTAAAAGCGTAATGCTCCGCCTATGCAAGGTCTTCGCCGGATGTGTTGCGACGCCTCCTGTGTAGCATTCCAAGATATTCCAAGCAGACCACCTTGTGAAGAAACCCCGACTTCTGGATCTCGTAGAGCAACAATGTCCACAAGCAGCAATCCATCGTTTCTAAATGTCGTGCATGTCTGTGGGGATGCACCCTTTAAAGCATGCTCCGCTGAAACAACATGCCAGGTATTTCCTGTTCCCGGGGAAGCCCTTTGGCATCTTTCGGTTGCTTGCGCTGCTGGTCTTGGCTCTGGGACTTCTTCTTGCGGAGTGTCGTGCAGCGTCACGGGGTTCTGGGCTCAATTCCTTGACTGCCTGATGTGGAAGCTGATTTGCGCATCCATCCAGCCTGCTTCGTAGTGGATGCTTGCAATGTCAGGTGCAGACACCAGGAAGCAGAAGGCCTGAAATTCCTGAAGGAAGCAAGTCATACTACTTGACAGCCCCCCAGTGCCAGACGACCGTTTGTACAACACAAGGCAAAGGCATGCAACTCGCAGTCGTGCTCATACGAGACCCTGACCGGCCATGTTCGGCCAAGTGTATCTCCAGAAGCCAAAGCGTCAAAGCTGCCAAAGCTGCCACCTGCCCCGATGCAACTGATGTGCAGAAGTTGCTTGTGAAGCCGGCCTACCAGCTGGTGAAGCTCTGGCCTACAGTGGTTGGCGTTGCCTGCGTCTCATTACCAATCTCAAGCTCGTGCATGAAGTGCCGAGAGGAGCTTTTAAACAACCTGTTGTTGAAGCACCGCTGCTTCCTCCAGAGGGGGTTTGGCATGCCTCCTTGCCGCTGACACGGACACATGGTAAAACAAGACTATGCGAGGCTCATTCTTCAAGATGCATGCAAACTAAGATTGATCTGCGATGTAAAAGCTTCCTTGCCCAGGATATTTCATGTACACCAGGCCGTTTTAGTTATGTGTTTTTTGTCAGAGTTCGACTCGCCAGGCTCGTGCAGTTGAAGCTTGGGCGATGAGCTCAGGTAGGGTCTCTGAACCAACAGGCAAGCACTGCCGGGCTGCGAGGGTGCTTCAGAGTGTGTTCCAGGTTCGTCGTGTCGTCGCTGGGCATGGGCTATGCCCTTGGGCTGATGGTGCGCTAAGGCTAATTTCTGAGTGTTCGGCACAGAGACAGAGACAGACAGCCAAACGTCACTCCGGAGTCAGTAGCGATGTTCCTCCTGCACCTGGACGCAAGGGAATATGTTTTAGATTGTGTCATGTGATCGGGGCTGTATTCTAACACTCCTTTCTGCGTGTCCGGGCATGGGACTGATCATCGGGTCCTGGCACGGCTCGCGACCGCCTAGACCATGCCTGCTTGGGGCTGTGCCCCAGCCCTGCCCGCCGGGGTAGGGTATAGCAGTGAGAGAGAGAGAGAGAGCCATTTTGGCTCAAGCCATTTTGGCTCAAGCCCCCAGACACACTCGGTGAGCCCCCGTAGTCAACTCCTCCCCGCTTACAGTGTCTGAGAGGGCTTTAGGGCGGCATCTTGATCCTTTCTCTCCGGCTCCCTGCCATCCGCTTGCAGGGTAAGTTTGCACTACCACGCGCCTTCATCAACGACCTTGCCAACAACGACCTGTACCTGAACGCTCTTGCACGGTGTCAGTTGCCGCACGACAGGCCTTTGACCCAGTCCTCACTTCCCACTACGGTGTCCCTTGAAACCGGCTACACTGGGAGAGGCACACCATTATCTACCAGATCGTGACTCTTGCAAGGTCGGCAAAGTACACCAACCATGGCCAGCAACAGGCCAACTACAAGCACAACCCCAATAGAGGTGGACGTGCGCAGCCCAGGGACAAAACGGCCCTGCCGTAGCCTTCATCATAGAGCTCAAGAAAGCACTCCACTCACACTATCTCACGCTAGAAATGTTCCTGAACGCAATCCAGCCATTGATAGCCAAGGTCGGCACGATGGAAGCTAGGATTGGCTAGGTGGAAGCAGCCTTCACAGAAAGGATGCACGTGAACCTGTTGACGGCAATTACAAACACCCAAACCCAGATCCGCGTGGACGAGCACCTTCTGATGATGTTGCTAGCAGAAGGGTGAGGGAAGGAGGCTCCCTGAGTTGTTGCAATCAAGCAGACTCGGCTCCGAACGGTAGCCGCTTGTTTTCCGATGATGTATAGGAAGAGGTTGGCTTGTCGTCTTGTGCATGCGAAGGTAGAATCCTGGATGGAGACACAATGGAGGACTGCTCTGAGTTTGAGCATGAAGTGATCCCTGGTGCGCCACAAGTATGCGTGCCAGAGGGTTGTTCGTCAGTACACGTCCTTCTTGCGTTGATTGCTGAAGGCCACGGGCTGCTCGACATGAAAGGGGGTGGCCATGAGGTAGGAGCTGAGGGTAGAAGTGATCCCGCGTCTGATGCCAAAGAGCCACAACAACAAAAAGGTGCAGGGGTATGGAGCAGCTCCTCTAGTGTCCCCTTGGACCTCGCGAAGCAGCAAGTGGGAGTACAGACTTCAAGATTTCGGTATCAAGCTGGAATTTGGCAGGCGCTTCGAAGAAAAAAGTGGAAGGGATTGTGTGCACAATGCTTGAGAGTGATGTCCTGCCGATTCAAGAGTACTCAAGAATTACACCTGGATGGCATGTTGTTACTCATGACCACTACAGCGGAGTTCTGCGTCAAGATGTGCTCATGTACCATGCTGTTGGAACCATGTATGACAACCGCAAATTCTCAATCCTGAAGAGGAAGAAGTCGGGAAGGGGAGGGCTGGCCTGCTAAAGCACGTGGAAAGCGCTAAAGAGATTTGGGTGGGGTGGGGTCTTTGCATCTCCCTGTCAATGATGTGGTGGAGGAGATTCTCAGTAACAGGCCAACATTCTTCCAAACTGGCATCCCGCAACACTCTCACAGTGGCAACTCTGACCAACAAAACCCTACTAGTACGAACCCTGTACACTAGTTCCTGATGCACACCAACCATGTTGGCAGAGATTGCGCACCAGTATGGAGACACAAATCATACACAATCTCCACGATGTAGTGGATAATAAGTGAGCTCTACGTACGCAATCTTAGCCCCTAATGAATAGTCATCAGTGGAGACTTGGGAGGCGTGGTTGAGGGTGGCCTGATGGTGGCCCCAAAGCCCGAAAGACAACCATTTTGGGTCAAGTCTTTGCCTACCTTTTTTGGGGGGTATTCGCTCCACCGGCCCTTTGGGGAGGGGGCTGCTCCCCTCCTCCCTCGGGGGTGGATGAGTCTGAACGATTTTTGCCTGTAGCAGCGAGGATTGCAGAACTACGCGCCTTTCTGCCCGGGGCCCCACTACCCCAGAGTTCGGTCCACCTCGTGAACCGCTGCGCACTGCCGACCTGCAGGGCGACCGCTGCGCAAGAACTTCCACGACTAGCAGAACCACTGGCAGGGCAGCTAGCAGGGAATCAAAGGAGGCACACCTTGGCGGGATGTGCGCGGGCGCGCCCTCACGGCCAAAGAGGGGGTGGCTGACAGGGTTGGCGTAGGCGTAGCTGGCCCGTCCCCGCAAAAGACACAAAACAAAGAGGGAACGCGTGTTGTCATGACACAGCTTTAGAGAAGCTAGGTGAAAACAGAGGAACCATGGATACAAAGGTTGCGAACCCAGACAGAGAAACTGAGACAAAGCTCCCAAAGCTTCGAAACGTGTCGTTTTTGTACGGCGGGTGCTGAGCACGGCTCTACTCGCTCTTCAATTTTTGCTGCCGCTAAATCAGTGACTTCTGAAGGCGGCCATTCCTTCTTCCTTAATTATCTTGAGGAATAATGTTCTACCAGACAGTTTTGTTTTCCAAGGCGTGAG